TTTACCCACCATTTTGTTTCCTGAACACAGCCGCTCAGAGTCAACCTCGGAGTAACTGCTTAGCATCTCGACAAAGCCGGAAGGTATTATATGTAATATATAGTATATTTACACCTTACTGGATTTTAATATATAAACATCAATATAAATCAGTTACTGGATATTATTATAAACATTTCTACAGCAAGCCATTCTTGGAGGATTCTCTGATTTGTTTTCTTTTTGTGAATATAGTCACGTTAACTTCCATGTATCTGTTTGGATTTGCAATGAATTATCTATTATCTAAGTATTTAACTCCACTAAAACAAATAATTTTCAATTCAGTCGTACAAGAGCAAGATAAGCTGCGCATTATTTGCACGATCGTTGAAAAACGAAGTACAAGTGGACTGTTTGGAAGCAAAACATTCTTCCTTAGCTTTTGATGTGTAGGTGTGGTTTTCTATATTTCGTACATATGTGCTGTTGTTTAGAAATCACAGCCTATTTAAAAATTATAGTTGTAGTCAATTTTCTTTCTGATTCTTGTTTTCTCATTTGTTCTTTCTCGTTTTTTAAGGATTTTTTAGGGAATGCAAAAATCTATCATGCGAGATATTGGGAATAATCAGCTCATATTTGTCGCATTCTAAAAGACTGCAATGAAATTTTTCATGGTGGTGGTCGATTATAACCATGACAACCAGCTATGGCATTTCATTACACTTATCATTGTACAATGTAGACGGAATTGGTTCTAGTTTTTGTTGTCACTTTATGACAAAGTTTATTAGCCCAATTCTAATCCATTAAGATATGTGTTTATAATTTCCATGCTTATGTTCTTTTAAGCACATTTGAAGTTTAAACAAATCGGAAAAGCATTCTTTGAAGAAATGCAGAGGATGTGTAGTTTGGATTGTAGAGTGCCTAAGTATTAAATTCTTTTGTTATATATCGCCGTGTTTGTTATCGTCATTTTTTTTCCTTGAGTGATGTATAAATTCAGGGCAGAAAAGCATTTGTACTGTAGCAGTTTTCTCACTTCCATTTCATTCCTCATTTTCTCAGCATTTTTTCAAAACCTTCTTAAACCATTTATCAAACTCAATTCACCAGAAATTATGACTAGAATTTCAATGCATAAAGAACTTACACATTGATTTGCTTTACTGTCATGCAAGATAAAACGTGTAAGTTTTGTAGAATCGTAGTCTGAGGCGTTTGAAATGAATTCTAATTTCCATTTCTTAAATGCATTTACAAAGTCATAGTTTCTTGTAGTACCAATATATTTCTTTTTTTGAAAAAAATTTTTTATTGTAAAATGAAACTTTGCAATAATACGGAGAGGATACATCAGAGAAAAGGATTAGATCATTTCATTGAAGTTTTCTGATCACTAATCAGTCAAGAACTGAGATATGTTCTAAAAAGAATTTTTGTTAAAGAAACGATGGATTTCCAACAAAAACGATACTTTTTTTAGCAACTAAATTTGATGTTTTTTGAAATTCTCAAACACTCCATGGCAATGTAATCTTTCGCTTTTTTATTCGCTACGAAACGTTAAACAATTCAGCGTCAAAAAATTTAATTCAGAAGAGAGTTTGAATGGGGAAATCAGATTACCAAAGTCATGACCCACGTCTTCATTACATCTTACGTGTTGCTTCACATATCTTTACACTGAACTTAACGGAAAATAAATTTCCAAATTTGAATTCCATACAGGACTTCTGCAATACCAGTACGTCCCTGTTAATTATTGCAATGGATGAAAAGGTTCACTTCCTTTTGCTTCATTATTACTCATTCATTTCTGGCAGTAATTTTGACATATTTCTTGATTGTTAAAAGTGCTCAGTGCTGAATTTAAATATGTATATAAATATTAAATTGAAATTACAGAACAGTAAGATTGAAATTAGTAATGAAATACGGAATGACCATGCAAATTTGACACGAGTGATTTTCTATAAGCTTAAAGCTGCGCCCTTGTCATTGGATGTCTATAAAAATGAAATATCAGTATTATCACTGCGTGGACGTCCAACTGATGTACTAATTCGATCAGTAGAAGAAGTCAGTTGTTTGAATTAAAATTTCATTAAGGATGTTTTTTGTTCCTTTTCCCTGACTCATGATTAGCAAATCACTTGTTGAATGCATTTGAGGAAAGTGTTTTATTTCATTTTCAAAATAATTATTGAAATATTCATGTGAGCATGATACCAGCAGTTACATTTATGGACAATTTTTTATATCTGAAAATTGTGACCCATAATTTTAGGTATTCAGAAAAGCAGTAAGTAATGATTCCGAAATATCACGTGATGAATCACATCATCACTGGAACATAAATGAATCTGTAGTGATCAGTAACCAAAAGTCCGAGTTAGATAAGGAAGGTAATTGATTGAAACGAAGACTTTACGTTCTCAACGGTTATGATTTAACTCTCTGGTCACTAGTAATCGCTTTCTTAAAGCTCAAATATGCTACTACTGAGTTCAAACTCTCCGTTGTTATTTCAGAAAGTTTGCGCAAATACGAATTAGTGAATGAAGAAATAACTTACTGGAAAGCTAGAAAGGACAGTACAGCACTACAGTATTGTAGTATACTGAAAAAAATGCAAATAGAAAAACTTGTGGATTGCAATATTAATGACATCAATCAAATCATCGACACAACAGAAAATTGTTTAGACGCACTCTGGAATTGTAAGCCTGCATTTCCTCAGTATCGAATGGAACAATTGCTGCACAATATTGGTAAGGGCATCCTTTTTTATTTGAACTTTGTTTAAATCTTTTGCGTTTCGAAAATTAACCGTTTTTTATTAGAACACATTAATTGGCAGAAATGAGTAAAGAATTTAAAGAAGCTTTTATTATTTTGCGACATTTACACTTGGTTTCCTTTATAATCTTCTGATACATAATTTGACAGAGCAAATCTTCTGATCCATATTTTGACAAAATGAACTATACCATCAGATGACGGAATGCATGCCTCGGTAGTTGCTTGTGAGGATAGATTCTCAAGCTCTTACCCAAGTGCGCTTACATTATGCATTGTTATGCAAAAGATATCTAAAACTAAAATTTTTTGCAGGTTTCTTACTTGCTAATTCTATAGTAAAGAGGATAAACATTAACAACAGTTGGTGGGAAAGTGATAACTCGGATGCAAGAATCGATGTTTTGCATTCTATTATTTTCCCCTGTGAACGGTGGAAATTTACAATCACAGCATTAATTGAACAGTGGAAGCAAAATATTTATGTTCCTTGGAGAGGTGATAAACCAAAGATAATTGCTATTGAAACTCTTGAAGCACAAGCCAAACAGGTAGAACTATTTATACAATTTCTGCTATTATATTGTAGTAGTCTACTTATAACTGAATACTGTTTATTGTTACAAAATACAACTTTATCTAGTACCATCAAACATAACTGCGAATCTATGAAATTAATTTCAGTGAATGGAAAGGAATTAAGAAGATTTAGTTTTGGAAATTTTCTCCATTCTGTTCATTTCTCGAATTGTAATTGCAAAAGTACCTAAATAAACTAAATTATTTTAGATATTGTCACTGAATATGTTAAGTAGTCAAATTGATGAATTAACTGGAAATACAAATTCTCGTACAGAAATGGAACAAATAATTCAAACTGCCTTCTGCTCCTTTGATTGGTCCATGCATGATAATTCTATGCAAAATCGCTGGAAGTGTAAAATATTGGTGATGCTCTAATCTTTTGTGCTCGAAGACAATGTTTTCTATTATATTATTATATATGATATTTTTCATTCAGTGTTTTTCACTGTGTTTAAATATCGGGAAGCAAACGATTAAAGTACATGAAATAAACATCGAGTCACGGAAAGTTTTAGATTCAAAACTTAGTTTATTCCTCTGTTAAAAATTTTCATATTGAAAACAGAAAAAGTGAGTCTCAAGATAAAAATAAGTGATCGTATTTTTCTAATGAAATGTGATAGTTGTAATAAGTCTTCTTTATATTTTTATCAGTTTTGAACTTGTTTCTTTTAATCGTTTTCCAACGATTTAAATATAACCACATTTTTAACATGATTTAGATACTGTACCAAGTAAGGCAATTTCTTTTCATATAGGAAGTAGAGCAGTCAATTGAGCCATTTCTGAATCGAGCATTACCTAGTTTGAGGAAACGCTTGCAATGCAATCAACTAACAGATGATGCTGTAATATTTTGAATTTTTGCATCGTTTCAACAATCAATTTCATTGAAATTATTTTGTGATCACTTATAATTTTCCACCAGCAAAATATGCGCTTTTTCCAAAATCAAAATACGCATACCGATTCCAAATTTACTATGAACTTTTAGGCAGTGCTCAGTCTTATCAAATTCAAGCATTTTTTAAATTGTTCATCTGTCAAGGAAAAACTGCATGTGGAAAGGTTAAATAATTTTGTGCCATTTGCCAATTAGAAAGCTTTTCAGAAAAATTGTATTTCATGAAATAGTTCACTCTTCTGTTTAATAATGTAACAAATAGTATGATATTTTAGAGAAACTTTGCTCAATTATTTAGCGAATGCAGTAATAATGCAAAAACGGGAATTAACAGAGCAGACCAAAGCGAACAGCCAGATAATGCCAGTTGGGCGTTTTCTGACTGAAATCGCTGCTAAACTTATTTGGATTCGACGACACATTAAAAAGGTTATCTTGATTATAAAATATTTGCATTGCTTTATTATTCCCAATCAAATTGTAGGAACCTTTGGATATTCATGTTAATATCGGGGCACACATTACTGAGAATAACAAGTATATCCAGTCCTGTTCTCAATGAATTTTTACCACTTCTCTGAGTAACGGAAGAGCTTTAACTGTAAAAATTATTAGTACATTTGAGGCAGAAAATTACAAAACTTTGTGCAACGAATTATTAAGTGATTTACCACCTTACGACATAGCAGAGGAAAAAATTCGAAATTCAATCATTGAAATGCGATCCATAGAATCGGAATCCTTTGGGATCTGGTTAGTAATTTTATCTGCTTTTAAAAGTTGATAAAATAGCCATAACAATTTTATAAAGCTATCAAACTATGATTTTCTACATGCTTTAAAATTCTTATCTTCAAACTAATTATGAAATTTTAGGACACTTTTCTAGTTTTTGCAGCTGTTTTGATTTTTGAAGTACAGGTAGTGGAATTTTCAGGTGTCAAGAAATAATCCAGGCAATGAACAGTACAATGTATTCAGTTTCTCTTCACATAAAAGGGAAACTGGTAAATATTGAGCAGAAACGTGGTAACTTGAGCGTAAATTACAGTGATCGCTTACTTCAACTTCTTCGAGAAGTAAGACAGTTAATAGGTCTCGGATTTGTTGTGCCACGCAAAATAGTTGAGTGCGCTAATACTGGTGAACAATTTTGCAAATATGCCATCACCCTCAAGCAGGTTATGATTGATTTTTAGCCATAAAATTCGAAACCAAAATTTTCTATAAAATTAAAGTTAGGGGGCAAGTGGCATTATGAATTTGCAAAATAAATTTTGAGAAAAACAGTATTGGTTTCGAAATGAGCAAAACTCTGAATTGATCAAACTAATTGTCTAATTTAGTTAAGGGAACAGAATAGTAGTGGAATTTTTGTAGAAAGTATTTCAAATTTACGGACATACCTCCAGGTATTAGAGAATTTAACCGAATCTTCAATGTATTTGAGTTTGTTTTTTTTTTAATTTTCTGAATAATATTTTGATTTTACTTGAAGATTGTACATTTCTACAATACGGTCGACCAACAAATGCTTCCATGTCAGCAAGCGATGATGCTCGATGAAGCTATGATATTTGAAAAACTTATGCTTTCAAATCAGAAAGATGAAATGGCGGCAAATGTGATTTGCAGGGATAATCCAAATCATCTTAGAGAATTCGTTGAGAGATTGCAAGAAGCAGCTGAACGCTTAACATTGCGTAACAGGTTGACTTATGAGCTTTCCAAGTCTCTTTATTCATATTTTTGTTACTAACAATAACTGGATCAGCTTATTTCATGAAGCAAAATTTATTGTTGGTTTGTGTTGCAAACGAAATCGTGCGACCATTACTTGCTTAAAATAGTTTTCGTCACATTCTAAGTTTTTCACCGACCTTTTGTCGAACATGTTGCAATATATTTGCTAAAAACAAAGAATTCGTGGAACAAATCGTCCAATAGTGTTAGAATTTGAAATACATATTGACTCAAAATTCAATTTTTTCTTTCTGCAGGCGATTACGAAAAGTACATAATGAGATTAGCGACAAAATGAAGCAATTGATAAATTGGAATCTTCCAAATGAACTTAGCAAATGGAAAAATGTTATGACCGAAATTCGGGGTAAGGTTGCAGAGCAAGAACGGAATGTTGGGTATGCAAGCAACATGGTACTGTGGTTGTCACATTGGGATCTTCAACTTTACAAGGTTCAAATTTTTTCTGTAAACAAGCTTTTTGTCTTAAATAATTCCATAGTTTTTAGCTGCAACTTCACCTTCATTTCTTTAAATTTTAAAGCTTTCTCTGTTATTTTTTAATCAAAAATTTCACTAGTTTAATTCCAGATACTACAGCTGCAATACCATTGGGGTATCGAAAGTTTTCATACCCAAATTTCCCCAGTTCAAATTCAGCTGGTGTTCAAGTAAAATTATTTTTATTAGGATTACTTGTATATGTTTTTGCAGCACTCACTCTAGTGGAAGGATTGTAATTTCAAGAATTTATCATTCTTATATGACTTTTCTGTTTTTCATCCATTATTTTAAAAACTTCTGCAGCTTTCAGTAATCAACAGCTTGAATTACGACCGCCCTTGGAAGATATTCGTGTAAAATGTTATCGGGAGTTGCGGAAGTTCGTAAGCATTCCACTGAAATTTCGCGGTATTCAGGATACGGAACAAGTAAGTGTATAAGTTAATTTCAAAACTAACTCCTAAATAAATTTGACATCAAATGAACTTAATATTATTGCTTCCGCTCCAGTGGAAGCAAGCATTTCGTAAAAGCATGTCTGATTTTTATTTTCATGGTGCTTTACCTACGGTTATCTGGCTGGTTATTTAATTATCCTCAAAAGCGACATTTATCATGGAGAAATATTGATATTTAATGTCATCTCCTGCTTTAAAGTCCTGAATTGTGAAACTATTAATAGAAATCATTTTAAATTGATCGCATTATCGCAGCTGTAAATTCAATAATATGTGGTATTCTGCTTTGTTATTAACGATTATTGCTGCGGCAACAAAAGTGGATTCAAGTTAATTGAAGTAAAAACAAGAAGATGTGATTTTGAAAAGTACTTGGGTTTTAGCCAAACAATTTGTTTGCAAAAATTATTGAACAAAGTGCAAGTCGACTGTGGCCTGTTTATGAAAGTGCGGAACGAATATTTGGAAAACTTGTTAGTGTAGGAAAGAAGTTCGATGTGAGTTTCACTGCTTTTCTTAATAGTAAATGGTTCAATGAAGGTTACCAGTATTATTTAGTGTTTCATTGAAATCATTTTTTGAGTACCGCAAAATGGAACTTGAAAAAAATGTTATAGAGTTAGTTCTTTCCTTTCTCTGTTTAAGGAATGAAAGAAACAGATCTGTGAATATGGTCAAAGATTAGAACAAAAATTTGCAGGATTGGATTGTACTAGGTCAGGTTGATTTAGAAAGTTTAATGCTGAAGCATTTCAAGTGTGCCGCAGATTGGGAAAATCAGATAAAACTGCTAAAGAACAAAGCTAGAGATGCGCAGAAATTACCAAGGTAAAATATAAGTAATCAGCAGTTTTTTTGTTTTGGAGTTAGTTATTTCCTTCCTTTGTTCGAGGATTAGAGCAAAAATTTGCAGGATTGGATTGTACTAGGTCAGGTTGATTTAGAAATTATCAAGGTAAGGTATAATTAATCGGCAGTTACGTTCTGTTAGTGATGTTGACTATTCGATTAATAGAGAAAATCTTTGTAGTGAAGTTAGGCTGGAATATATTTTGATCTCAACAACAAATGTTAGGAATGCCATTGATGATATGCTACAACGCCTATTCGATGCTTTGATTTGGACTCTCAGATATTCAATAAACAATCAAATTCTCGTGACTTTTTTACTCTTATTAATTAGCTTTAATTCTTTAAAGTAATAGTTAAAAATGTGAATCTAAAATCATCGATTGCTCATCATAAATTTTCTAAAGCTTCGTAAGATTCAAATTTAAGCGAGCTGGTTCTTGCTTAAAATAATTTTTGTTGTGCAATCAACTCTATGATCATTATTTTTAGCCCTTAGTTTTTTCTATTGAAAGAGTTTTTTTTCTAGGACGTTGACCAATTCTTAAGTCAAGCAATTAAAACACTTAACTGCAAACCGCAGTCAGCTGATGAAATTGCCGAGGTTAATAAAAAACACGCTGAACTTGTCAAGTGCACCACTAAGGTTTTCTTCGCAAATCTTAAATTGATATTACATGACGAAACTCCGACATTTTTATGTTTTTATGCTTTCTTATTTTATATTCTTAGATGCAACAAACAGTAACTCTCATTAATGAGAAAAACGCTCTGTTACGATCTGTTAGTGGCACTGGTGTTGAACAGTTATCTGTGATGTTAAAACAGTGGAACGTTTTCGAGTCAATGTTGGATAATCAACAGTTGATGATTAAAGAGCAGGTTTGTTTTTCAGCAGTTCTTTATGACTGAATTTTTTGTTTTTTGTACAATTATTTTTTTTCCAAATTATTTGCTTCCCATTGCTTTTGTTTTGTGTTATGTGTTGGTATTTTAACACACCATTTTGATATGAATTAAGGGGATTATTGTAATGATCTGATTTTCTGTCAAAAAATGATAGATGAATGGGGAGTAACTTACCATTCAAATACAGAACAGCGTAAAAAATATAAACAAATAGTTCATACGCCACACTCTTTAAATGCCTAATATCATTTCAAAAAGAGCTTAACTAGATCTTAATTCTTCTCACCTGTTCAGGTCTTGAAATCTTGGAGACTTGTTGTGTAGTTAAATTTACGCATGTGAAGGAAGTGAGACTTAAGTTAAATAACTGCCACATATTTCCTAAAACATAGTCAGTGTCTGCAGGTCGGGTTTCTAAAAGCAAACGTCAGCAATCGATCAAAGTCACTAAATGCTGAAGTTGAGAATTTGTTCGTACGATGGGCTCAGTTTAAACCAAACAATGATGTTCTTGGAGATAATGACTTGTTCCAAATAATTCAATTTATCAAAGAAATACGCGAGGAATTTATCGATTTGCAACAAAAGCAAGAAGCTTTGTTGTGAGTCGTACTCTAAATTAGAGTTGCTTGATTGACTTTGATTTCGATAGTATTTAGTATGTGGGAAAAAGTAAATTAAAATGACAGTCAGCATGAAATGCTGGAAAAAATTGTTAGCTTGATATTTATTCAGAACTGATATAATGTCATATCATTGAAAGCTGCATTGTTATAATCAGATAGTATTTAGCACTGAATGTGAACAGCTTGGTCTTTCGAAGCCAAAAATGCCTATGTTTGATGAGATAGCTAGTGATTTAGAAGTGTTCGAAAATAAATGGTTGTTATATGAACAGTTCACTGACGGTTTGAGAGACATGGCTAATGAAGAATGGGTTTTATTCAGGTAAGATAAGAAATAAGTGATGAAAGGGTAGTGTAATGCCTTTTTTTAAAGGCTTCAGCAGCTTCTCTTAAGTAATGGATTCAAGAGAATCTAAGCGCAGCATTTAAGTAAATCATTTTACTTTAAATTAAAGTCATATTCGCAGTTGTTGTACGTGATTGTATGGGATCTCAAAAATTCTTTTTAAAGTTTTCTGTTTCATTTGTGAACATTATTTAAGGTCAAAGTTGTATCAGTTTGATGAATATTTACATGAATGGGATAAGAAGCTGAAATATGTACCAGTTACTAATATCACAACTCGTTTACGAAAAGATGTTGATCAGTTCAAAGTATAGCTCTTGAATATTCGTTTAAAAGACTCGGAAACAAAAAACTTGATGCAAATAAGAACCGTCCATAAATCCCTATAATTTGCGTTTTGAATTCTATACTTTGGATGCCTTTTTAAATTATTAATTAATGAAGCTTTATGAAACCTGGGTAATTCATTCTTTTTAAGAAAAAAGAAATGTTTATTTTCTCAGTTTTTGCTGTAATCTGAGATTCAAAATTTTTTAAAATTTGTTGTCATATATTGACATTGAAACACTTTAATTTTTGTAATTTTTGTAACTTACGCCAACTAATATATAATGTAATAAGTATAAGAACTGTATGAACGTACTAGTTGTATTTTGCTTGCCAGAAGCAATTTAAATCTTATTAGAATGAATATGTTGGAATCATAAAATTTAATAGTTTCATTTTTCAGGAAATGAGTTCTGCTCTGAAGTACTGCACTGGTGAAATTTGGGGTAATGATCACTGGCTGGAATTATTTAGACTTATCAAGATGCCGAAAGGCACTACTTTGGGAAACTTACGTTTCGAGGACTTTCTAACTGCTTGTAATATGATCATTAGAAATGTGGAGACATTGAAAGTTTTGAACGAACGGGCTCAAGGAGAAATCGTAATTCGCGAAGCTATCAAAGAAATTGAACTTTGGGCGACACAGGTTTATTTATCAATTTGTAACCTTTTATTATTTATTTGGGTCAATACCAATGTGAAACGAATTAATGTCTATCTTGCCTACTTCTAGTAATTTATGAAGCTACACTTCAAATGACTGCGGAACTTTTACACCTGCTTAACTTTTCAATTTCAAAAAATGCCCAAATAAAGATACCTAATGTCTTATGATAACTAGACAAGTTTTGCTCTCTTTAAAACTCAGAATACAATATTTCGAGAAATTGGAAGCAAACTAGCATAATACGATGGAATTTTGTGATTTGGCTCAATTCTTGAAGATGAGTGCTTTATAAAAAAGCAAACTAGGTTTTTCTGGATTTACCACTAAATATTTGTTTATTTTAATAGGTCTGAACGACTCCGTTCTTATTTTCATATCAAAACTTAAAAGTGTGAGCGAAATACGTTTTTTTCAGGCAGAATTTGCTTTGACCGACTATAAACATTCAAATGGAATGATTGTTCAAATAATAAAAGATTGGAAAGATGTTTTGAACTCGGTATTCTTTTGCTTCTAATGTTTTAACTTTTTGCTATCTTGATGCAAGAAAATATGAGTTAATTATTACATATTTCCAGTCTTTCTAAAACTTCATTTCACGAACTTTTTGTGCCTAGAATAAAAATACGAACATTAACAATAGTTGATTGTGGCAATTTTTGATATTAGTTAGTAAAGCTGCACGTTATTTGAGATTGAAGTTCAATATTATTCAGATCAAAGATAGTGAAGCTTTACTGCATTCGCTTAAAAATTCTCCATATTATGCGCATTTCACTGATGAAGCTTCAGTTTGGGAAATGCGGTGCGTTCGTGTTTCAGATTGCGCCTAAATTTTAGAATTTGTAAATTTTTAGTTTATTCAGATAATATGGAAAGTAAGCGGCACTGTTTTTTATTGTGTTAAGGGGATTTCTGTTCTAGATTAGCTGAAACCGAGCAATATGTCGAATGGCTGAATTTAATTCAACGAAAATGGATCTATTTGGAACCAATCTTTGGACGTGGCTCTCTTCCTTCCGAAGTATCGCGTTTCAATCGAGTTGATGCGGATTTTCGTGTGATCTTAAATGGTCACTACAGTTTGCCTTGTGTGATCTATTAATGTGCAGTATTTTATGTTGAATTGTGGTCAAATTTTTTTGAGGGTTCTATAAAATTCATAGTGAAAATAGTATTTAATTAATATAAAAGCACTAAATTAAAACGTCATATTTCTTCTTTTAACATTTCTTTTACTCTATTATGGCAGTATGATAATACCATACATAACAGCGTAGATGTGGTACGAGATAGACGTATCATCAGTCTGAGTATGCGGTCTCTAAAGAGTACGCTGGAGCAAATAATTGATCAACTAAATCGTTGTCAAAAGGCTTTAAATCATTTTATAGAGGTCTGCGCTGCAGTGAATTTATTGACTGTATCAGAACGAGTCCATATATTTCATGTCATCAGCATTTATTATCAATCTCCAATGGATGTGACTCGTTCATTCCTTTTAAATGTACTTTAGGAAAAAAGAAATGCTTTTCCGAGATTCTATTTCATGGGTGATGAGGATTTATTAGAATTGCTCGGTCAGTCAATGAATATTGCAGTAATCCAAGCCCATTTGAAAAAGCTTTTTCAAGTAAGTTGTGGAGTAAAAGTGGTTTCTAATGTAGTGGTAATTAATAATCATTAAGTATGACTGAATGTCGGAAAATTTCAGTTAATGACTACAGCATGGATTTGATCGCTCATTTTTTTGTCTGCTGAATCCAAAATGATTGAACTGATTAAATTTAAAATATTTTCCTCGAAAGTGTCTTATTCACAAAGTGGGGGGGTTTGTTTGAAAAGCTTGAAATGTTCTTTCAGGGAATTCGTAAAGTTTCGTTTGATGAAACTAATAAAATGATCATTGCAATGGTTTCCAACGATAATGAAGTCGTTATGCTATCAAAACCAGTTGTAATTGGCCCTCAAGTAGAAGTAATTGTTCATCTTCTTACTGTTCACAAAGACCATTACTTCTTGATGCACAACAGTCTCTGTACGATCATTATAAACTCTTTAGATTTGGTTACAAGCTTTACTCGAGGAGATGCGGAATACGCTACAAAAATTAGTTGTAAGCTGTGTTAGTGAAGAACATCCTGATCCTCGAAAATATCCATCCCAAGTATGCAATCTTTCTTTTTTTGAGAAAATCCGAGATTAAAAATTTCGGTTGTTAGTTTGATCAGAAAGGAATGTAGCAATAAAAGTAACTCAAAATATAAAACATAAATGAAATTAACTGCAGTTAAGAAAAATATACCTCAAAAAGCTCAAATGTATAACAGCTGAAGAGAATTAAATCCATGCAATCTGTTAGTCACATGAAACTGAGTGTTAGTGTGACATAATTTTGGTATGAAAAAAACAAAAAGAAGCCAATAAATAGTATTTTAGGTACTTTGTTTATCAGAACAAATTCGATTTTGCGAGAAATGTGAAAGACTTTTGGATAGTAAAGATAATTTACAAAGCTATCGGAAACATTTAACCCGAACTTTAACGAAATATACGAACTTCAAGACAATAGACCCTATATTGAAACTGAAATTGAGAGCACTTGTATTAGACATAATTCATAATATAAGAATTGTTAATGAATTGATCGACAGTTCACCTTGGTAAGCACTGTATTGTGGTTCTAGACTTAAATTCTTTAGTTACTGTTGTAACCTTTACTGTTCAAATAAAGAACTGGACATATTTGGCATAGTTGTCGCTCAGAAGCTGGTATGCTCTTAAAATTTGATCGCGATTGCGTATATCAAAGATGCATTATGTTCATTAGATATATTAATATCTTTACAAAATATAGTCATAATGATAGCATTATCATAACACACGATTATGACTATATTTTTCTAAAAAATGACATGTTTCAAACGATCACATGATCGTTTGAAACATGTCATTTTTTTTTCTGACCGACCCAGATTGGAAGTTATGTATATAAACTGAGGTGTATACCTGTTAAAATATCATCTTTAGTTTTGATAAACAAAGTTAAATTTTAGCTCCAAATTCTCATGGGTATGGCAAAAACAATTGCGTTTTTATATGGAATCTGGGGATCGAGTTTCAGTATATCATGTTGGAAGTCGATTTGACTACACTTACGAGTTTCAAGTCCAGTATTTATAAACACTTTTTCTGAATTTGATCATGTGATTTTATTAACATCCTTATTATATTATAATACATTTTAGGGTAATTCGACAAAACTGGTTCATACTCCCCTCATTGACAAATGTTATTTAACTCTTACACAAGGTGTGCAAGTAGATTTTTTATCATTAAAAGAATCATATAATCATCAAAATAATTGTAGAAATTTTTATGAAACAAAATCAAGACGAAGTTTCATCTGTGTCAGAGTCTTTTTAATGTAAGAACTAATTTTTTCACTTTAAATTATTGTTACTTTTAGCTCTGTCCCTGGGTTTTGGTGGTAATCCTTTTGGTCCTGCTGGTACAGGAAAGACTGAGTCGGTAAAGGTAAAATAATGGAAATATTCATCCATATTGTAGACTTTTCCAGAAAGTGATATGATTTTAATGCTTACTTCGTTGGCTCTCTCAACAATTAATGAATATTTCAGTCATTAGCAAATCTATTTGGAAGACAAGTTATAGTATTTAACTGCGATGCAGAAATCGATGTGTATTCAATGAATCGCATTTTTATTGGTTTGGTGAACTGTGGAGCCTGGGGTTGTTTTGATGAATTCAATCGTCTAGATCAGGTTGTGTTTTGAAATTGTGAAGTCCAAGGACACTATATTTTGCATACCAGTTATATTTCAGACTGTTCTTTCGGCCGTGTCCATGCAAATTCAAGTCATTCAAAATGCGATAAAATCGAGATTGGGAAAATGCATTCTAACTCACAAGGAGGTGACACTAGTAACTGAAAAAGTTGGAATTCGTGTAGGAATTTTTCGGATATCTGTCTTTATTATATTAATTTCAGGTTACTGTAGATCCAAATTCAGCTATTTTTATCACGTTGAATCCGGTAGCTAAAGGATATGCTGCAAGGCAAATATTGCCGGATAACTTAAAACAGCTCTTTCGTCCAGTTGTTATGTCTCTTCCAGACTATGAACTTATAGGTTGTTACTGATTCATGATTATAACTATAAAGGCATTTACTAATCAAAATCCGAAAACTATTGCTAATTAGTGTATTCATCAGTTATTAGAACATAGTTGCAGCTGAAGCACTACTCACTGCAGAAGGTTTTTACGATGCAAAAAAACTGTCACAGAAGCTGATAACAGTTTTCGAATTAAGCAGGTTAATCTACGTTTTAGACTTTCTAAAGGTTATACAACTGAAATGTTGACTTATTAGTGTCAACCATTTTTTGAGAGCCATATTTAAGCAGCAATTCTCGTAGCATAGTGATAATAAACTCATCATCTGAAAGTTTTGGAAACGTAAAAATGGAATTCTATCTGAGCATATATGTATTATTATCTAGTTTTAAGGAGCATGTTGAGCTGGCAGCAGCATTATGATTGGGGATTGAGAGCATTAAAAGCGGTTTTGCGCAGTTGCGGAAACTTATTAAACTGTTCCAGTGATAAGTCTGAAATTCAAGTGGTTGTCGATGTATTTTGATACTTTTCAGCTTTTTCTTTTTCCTTTTCCTTTTTCCTCGGTATGAAAATAAATGCCTTCTCCAGCGAATGCATAAATATAAATATATAAATATTAATATATATTCTATAAAAGAAAAGAAAATATCAAGGTTAATTTTTTTCCCCTCTTTACTGATTCTGGCGCTAGATCCTATTTCAGTCCGGCTCTCTGACTGTACTTGTCTCGCGCTCAGATTTTTTTAATATTACATTATAACCCATATAATATATATTTCTAGTAGTTTCTATTTTTATTCTTTTCTCTGCTCTACTTCTGTATGCGATGTTATGATGCGACGATGGAAGTGAATGGCGAAAATACCAATGCAAGCAGTTGTGACAAGAATCGTAATAGTAGCGACAACCAACGATGCCAGAACGGTGGATATGGTAGCAGGTTCGAGAGAACATTGCAGCAGACCAGTGGATCAGCTATCTGATGGCTGGGAACGAGTCTCTGAAGGACCTTCCACATCACAGGCGACTTCCAAGAAGAGGTGTGATAGACCATAACGACAATGCTCATGCCAGCCCTTTTTGCGGTACTTCTAAAGCAACGAAAACGAAACAAGGGAAGAAAGCGAGAATAAAACGCATGACACGAATGTAGCGGAGGAAAAGCCCGTTGAAAAACGAGATGGAAACTGAAAAGAAGAAGGCTGTGTGGTTGCACAGTCAGCATATCAGAAGTCCGGAAAGCAAAAGAAGGATGAACGGAGAAAAACATCTGGAATCGTAGTGGAAAACAATGGGAAAGCAGATGAGGTTGTGAAAAGCTCCGTGAAAGATGTAGGAGAGCACTCTGCCAGCTTACCGGAAACGGGAATCAGTAGAATGATTATGATTGAAGTTATCATTCGAAGAATCGAGGTTACGCAAAGCAGCTGGCCAGGCGAAGTGCTGAAGGCGGTTCTCAATGTTTCGGGAGGATACCGAGAGGGGGATGACCATTGTGTCGTTCCCTGTATTGCGGGAAGTTTATGTGCACGATTATGCCTTCAAGAATTGAAGAAAAAAGCGAATGCTGCAATCATCAGGAATGCAGGACGTCCGTGTTAACAGAAACGGTTCTTGGAGGAGTCAACGAAATGTATCAAAGCACAAGATACACACTTCGAGAAAAATACGCTACACGAGTCCAAGGTTTATCTAGATGTGAAAGAGAAATATTTAGTGCTGATGCAAGAAGCGATAGGCCAGATAAAGTGGACACGGAAAATAATCTCGAGGAAAATTGACCCGCTTATACTTGAAGCGATAAACTGAACGGCGGGTGAATATGCCACATTAACCTGCATGTCAAACCTTTACAAGTTCACAACCAAATGTGTGACACGAGTCATATTGCCACGAGAAAACTACTTGCAGATGATAACCAATTAGGAACTGTTAGGAAGGTTGAAGGGGCGAAAGAGCAGGCACTCGAACCTGGCGGTCTGCAGAGAGCATGGAAATCAGTTATCCACCACGCGGTATGATGTTAAAAAAGCGTTCGATTCAGTTAGTCACATGTATTTGATTAAGTGTATCGAAAGGCCCAACATGCCAATGTGGAATTTTAAGTTTCTGAAAAGTATCACCTCCAGAGGGCCGGTACATTGAAAAGCAATGAAGCAGCCATAATGGAGAGAAAAATACAGCGGGGAATCCTTCAAGGTGACATCCTTTCTCCGCTGTTGTTCGTTTTATGCATGGCCCCACTGAGCCGTAGGCTTAATATCAGATACCCAAAGGTAGAGGTTCCCACCTTTGAAGGAATGCATGTAACGAACCATTTACTATCTGTGGATGATCTCAAGTTCTTTGCTGTCTGCGAGGATATCATGAAAGCTATGGCCGAAGAAGTCCAAAAGTTCTTTGAAATAGTAGGGTTAGAAGGGAATTTAGCAAAGTCAGCAGCTATTACTGAGGTATGCGCTGATAAGACGGTAATCTCGGAAGGAACTCAAGGGTATAAATACCTTGGCATAATGGAGGACGGGACTAGGACTCCGACTTGAAAAAGTTATGATAAAGTGCGAGCAGAGATTTTAGTGAGAACTGAGAGATTAGCCAAAACTGCACTAAATGGCAAGAACTTTATCAAGGCAGTAAATGAGTACTTTATAGGATTGATACATTATTACACTGGGGTGCTCAAACTGGAACCAGAAGACTTCCGAGCAATTGACAATGATATCAGACAGTTACTAATTAAGTACAGAATTCACATCCATCCTGCATGTTAGGAGAGACTGTACCTGCCGAGAGACGAGCTAGGACGTAGAATTAATGTTGAGCGGAAGAATGAGCTTTTGCTTCTCCAACTACGTATGTTCTTGTAGATACTGCGCCCATATCTACCACGAAGGCGGCAATTTTGAATGAGGAAAAGACTCACAACCCGTACTTAGCAGTTATCATGGCCTATCTTTAAACTAAATGCAACCTTATAGAAAATCCAACCATCGAAAGCGTATTAGCAGCTCAGAAAGCACTCTTTATAGCAAAATAGAAAAGAAAACTTGACGTCCAAAGCTATACAAAGTAC